CCACTATACAAAACATAATTCTGAAAAGTCAAGGCATCAGACAATGAAAGAACTGTACAGTGATGAGTCCAACCAGGAAGTTTTTTATGAATTTTTTAAGCCCTGTTGTAGAGCTAACTGAATGTAATAAATAAAAATGGAAATCTGTATCCCTGCTTGTGTGCCGCAGGGAGACACCTCAATGACGATGGACACGGACAGCAATCCGGATGAGGAGGGTGCTGAGGAGAGTCGGGATGGGCAGGACAGACCGTCTCCCAGCCACGCTCGCGAGGACGCCTCTGTGCGAGCTGTCTCTGCACCTTGCTCCCCCTCTGGCGCTCAGCCCGGCGCTGGCCCCAGCTGCAGCTCTGGCTCCGCTCGGGACTGTGCCGCTTCCCAGAAGGCGAGCGGGAGGCCCAACTCCTTGCCCCCTTCCAGCCCCAGGGCCCTTCCACACAATGACTGGGCTTATGATTCTGCTGCCAGCCCGGTGGAGCACCAGCACCCAGGAATGCAGCGAGACAAAGGTATTCACTCTGCTCGATGCAGGATAATGTGCTGTGATATGGAGCACTCAGTTATTGTTTTATGTGCAGGCTTATGCTAAGATGCTGTGGGTTTCAAGTGGGGATGGGAGCTTTTAACCAGATGATTAATTGTTAGATATTTGCAGCATAAATAATAATGTAACCTGAATACAGAGCTGCAGGGAAATTGGAGGAATTGCATTTTCTGTGAATTCAAAGTGCTGAATGGCTTTCAAGAAATTTGCCCAAATAAACTAAAACTGAGTTAAAAGTTGAAGAAACAAAACGCTAGCTATAAGCTTGAAAAAAAAATGATAACGTAAAGAGCAAAAAGCAAAATGCTAGCTATAATCATGGAAAAATTCACAACATAAAGTTAAAAAAGCAAAACAATAGCTATATGCATGGAAAAAATTACAAAGCAAATAAAGCAAAACACTAGCTAAAAGCTATGAGGAAAAAAATGATAACTTAAAACTAAAAGAAGCAAAACTCTAGCTATAAGTGTGGGACAATTTACAAAGCTTCAAAAAGCAAAACACTAGTCAAAAGCTTGGAGAGAAAATAAATAAAAAGAAAAACAAAACGCTAGCTAGAAGTTTGGAGAAAAATGATAACTTAAAACAAAACAAAAAAAGAAAAAACACTAGCTAAAAGCTATGAGGAAAAACTGATAACTTCAAGCTAAAAGAAGCAAAATGCTAGCCATAAGTGGGGGACAATTTACAAGGCAAAAAAGCAAAACATTAGTTAAAAACTTGGAGAGACAAAAAATTAAACAAAAAACAAAACACTAGCTACAAGTTTGGAGAAAAATGATAACTTAAAGCTAAAAGAAGCAAAACGCTAGCTATAAGTGTGGGACAATTTACAAGGCTAAAAAAGCAAAACACTAGCTAAAAGCAATTTGGAGAAAAATGATAACTTAAAGCTAAAAGAAGCAAAACGCTAGCTATAAGTGTGGGACAATTTACAAGGCTAAAAAAGCAAAACACTAGCTAAAAGCTTGGAGAGAGGAAAAAATAAAACAAAAAAAAAACACTAGCTAGAAGTTTGGAGAAAAATGATAACGTAAAACAAAACAAAAAAAGAACAAACATTAGCTAAAGATTTGTAGAAAAATGACAACTGCAAACTAAAAAGCAAAACGCTAGCTAAAATCTTTGAGAAAAAACAATAACTTAAAGAAAGAAAGCAAAATACTAGCTAAAAGTTCAGAAAAAAAGGGTAACTTAAATCTAAAATAAAGATATCTTAAAGCAAAACATTAGCTAAAAGATTTGAGAAAACAAAAAGATGACTTAAAGCTAAAAAAGCAAAACACTCTCTAAAAGTTTGGAGAAAATGATAAATGATAAGTGAAAGTTTAATAAAAGCCAAACACCAACTAAAAACTAAACATAACATAAGAAGTAAAAAACAGAGCCGAGTGTAGAGTTAAAATAAATCAATATTAGGAAGGAATTACAGCTCTTAATGTATTTAAATGGAAACACATTTGGTAAATGTCATATATTTTTGATAAGTAACAAAAAAAATGTAGTATCTAATAGTAATTGTTCTGTGTTACCTTGCATCATTCACCTGTCTGAAGTGCATTTAGGTTTAATAAAAAGTATTTATATCCAATCATCTGGGTACATTTATTCCACGTAGAAGTATTTTTGGATTATAACATAGTTTAGTCGCACCACCGTAGATATGATCAGGTTCTGATTGGTGTTCTAATTGCTTCGCTCTGTGTCAGCCGTAGACACGAAGCCAGACGTCCCCTCTCGAACCGCAAGCCCCTGTGCTGTGAACAACGTCAAGAAAGAAGCTGGACACAAGGTGGAGGACAGCGGCCTCTCGTCTGACCAGCTGGTACCGGACTCTGCAGCGAGACTGGTAATTCCCTGTGACGTCACGTCCTCGCGCCGCTTCGATCGCCACGCTTTTCTACCTGACGTTTTGGCATTCATTTTGCTCGTTTCTGTCCCACCAGCGGGATGAGGTGAAGAACGGCTCTGACGGGAGATCGCCGGCGTTTTCCGTGCCGTCTGACAACTGTGAGTAGATTTTTCCTCTCGTGGCGTAGTCTGCGTTTGTTGCTCTGTGCTTTCAGTTGGAAAACACCTTCTAAGAAAAAAAAAGGACACACTTAAGGAACTGACTCCTGATAACCTATAAGAGCTTGTTGTGGTTCTTAGCCTTGAGGCTTGCTCGAGATTTTCTGAACGTTTCAAAGCTCTTCCTGCTCCCTTCCATCCCGGTGGTGCCTTTTCTGACTGCTAAGTTACTCTTCAGTTGATATTTGCTTACAGAGATGAGAATCTGTGGCTTCATTTTTAATTATTATTTTTTTTTATCCATCTGCGCAGAGACCCAGATGTCGGTACTTTGTAGGGATTACTTAAGACCTAATGATATTTGATGCCACAACTAAATATTACTGCTCCATAAATAGAAACCAACGAAGTGTTTGCACATGTTTCAGCTTTTCTTTCACTCTCAGGCACATTTAAGAAGATCCAAGTATCTTACACAGCAAGTGATGGGAGTCTTCTAAATGGTGATAAAGGCGAAGAAATGTGAGTCTAACTCTAAATACATGAGCCGGGCTTTTTTTTAACGCCTCGTCTCCACAGTAATTTAACACACCTGTTATTTACTTTTATTCTGTTTTACTTCCACTATTTCAGGTTCAGTRGCCTTTAACAAGGAAACTCTAATGATTAGCAGAACCAGTTTATTTGGGCTTCATTGATTTTAGCTGTTGGCCGGTCAGATGAACTTTTAAATGTTTTTCTTCCACCTGCAGCTCTGGGTCTTTGCAGATTGTCAGTATGTGCAGTTTGTGTTTTTTCTGCCTTCTCTACTTTTATTAAAGGGGACCTATTATGCAAAATTCACCTTTTTAAAGGTTTTTTTAATCAACTTTGGGTATGTACTTATAAAAAAAAACAGTCCTAGGACCAAAAAAAATGCACCCAGGGGCATATTTACTGTAAGTAAATGTATTTTTAATGTATATTGATGACAAGTTTAATACTTCCGTCATTTTGTGATGTCACAAGCCGTACGACAACCCACCGGAACCTGCGTTCTGCCCCTCAACTAGCAACTCCCGAGTGAGGCTCCACCTCCTCAGTATAAAAAGCCGTCGTAGTTGTTGTGCAATGTGCAGCTCATATCACAACAAGCCTCCAATAGGGCAATGGGTAGAGTGTTGGACCAGGGAGTGTGAGACCAGGGTTCGAGACTGGCACAGACACTATTTAATTATTTATTTTCATTCGTTATGAACACGTTCTCTCATGTCCCTCTATTGTTTAGCTTATTAAAGCCTTGTTAAAGCCTATTTGTTCGAGTTTCTGAGGTATTTTGACCGCTGCTGCTCCCTGCTCTGGTAACAGCATGCAGAGTGAGCGCAGAGCAGAGGAGGGCGAGAAAAAAAAGAAGCTGCGACCACTACTCTGCCTCTGGGTCTCTCATATGGTTGTACAACGGAGCTTCTGCTATTATTAGCCATGCTAACATAAACACTGGCTTTGGAGGGCGGAGTTAATGTCAACAGATTTTTGGAGGGCGTTACCAACAGAGCTCATTAACATAAACAGCTCTTCTGAACGGAAGTCAGAGCAGGCAGAACTAGAAAATGAGAAACTTTATTATCTGAGAATTATTTTGTGCATTAAATTGAATGAACATGGTCTSGATAGCCCACAGACATACCATAAACATTTCTAGGACCCATAATTGGTCTCCTTTAAATGCACAACCAGTCATGAAATTAGAGCACTGCCTTCTGAAGTGAAGTCTGTTTGGGTGAGTGGTTCTGACTCATGTCTAATTGTTCTCCAGCTCGGTGAAGAAGGAGAATATGCAACAGAACCTGTTGCAGTGGACCGTGGCAGACGTGGCCAGTTACTTCTCAGCTGCAGGGTTTCCAGAACAGGCTGTGGCGTTTCGAACGCAGGTTCGTTTATTTTTCAGAGAGCCGCCACAGGTGGCGKGCCAACCGCTCCACAAGCGTACGTCTGACCCGTTCATTCGTTTGCCCCGAACAGGAAATCGATGGGAAGTCCCTCCTCCTGATGCAGCGCAGCGACGTGTTGACCGGCCTGTCCATCCGACTCGGCCCCGCCCTCAAAATCTACGAGCGTCATGTCAAAGTGCTGCAGAGGACCCACTTCCTGGAATGCGACGACGTCTGAAGCGGCAGTCGGCAAGCGACATTGACTCTAATCATGCATGTAATCCCTCTCCCATCTGGATTTCACCACCCACCTTCATATGCATCATATGTAAGAGGGTGTGTGGAGGGGGAGGGGCCGAGCTGTGGTGGAATCCGCCTTCACTGTGAGAACGACCAGAAACTGAAAGACTGTCACCCTACCTCTCATTGTGGTCTTTGTTTTTTTGTTTTTCAAATGGTCTCCATTTCACCCGTGTGGCACCGCGGTGGAGAGAATAAACCACTGCGGGTAAAGTTCATTTAAGCTGGGCAGCTGATCCTGCACCAAGTGGACCAACACAGGTAGGACTGAGTCCTGCTGGGGGGGTTCCTCTCTTTATAGTTCCGAAGCTACAAGTTAAAAAATGGAAAAGAAGCAYGTTGGTTTTTGTTATACAAGTTGATTTAAACGTCATTTAAAGGCAGACTATCTGTGTATTTGTGTCAGAAGGTATTCTAATTCCTGACTCATCATTCCACGAGGAGCTGCTGCTTTGGATTATACCTTCAGCGTCCCTCCACCACTGATATTAATTAGCCTCGACGCGTTTTTACTTTGTTCTTGTGCCGTCTTTAATTAAACGGAACGATTGTGGTCCAACGATGCCGTTTTGTTTCGGGGAGCAGTTTCAAATATGCAGCGCAATAGAAGGTTTCTCGTTTTTACACCTAAAGCGAAACAAAGTAATACATGTTGTTCCTGCTGGATTTGTGGTTCCAAATTCAAGACTGCTGCTAAGCTTCTGTTTACAGATACCTTTTATGACATGCAATATTTTATGTTGTTTACACCTGGCCCGATTTGTGTTGTGATCGACGCCAGGCGGATGAAATGTGTCCGACATTCCATATTATGTAATCTGCATCTTCAGTGTATTCTCTTCACTTTTTAACTGTAATAAAAACACTTACTCTAGAGATGAAAACAAAGAGTTTGTGCTTCTCAGTTTGAGCTCATTTATTGACTTTCAGTCGACAGCTTCATAGTTAAATTGCACCAATGAGTGAATGACTGTACACTTGTAAACAAACGTTTTGCACGTCAGCTCTTAACTAAATGTTTTCTTTTCGATTATAGAAGCAGGATGATTTATTTCTGAAARGGACGTTTTTGAAGCGTTGAAGGCTTTGGGATGAGATCAGTGCATAAGTTGTCAGCTCCAGGCTGCACACCACTTTAACCTTTTAACCTTTGGGCTCTGTGGGAAACAGCTGATCAGTCGTCGTTGAAGAACATGTCATTCGACTTTGCAGCCTTCTTGGTTGAACATCAAACTCGAAAAGTAGGAAAATAAAAAGGTCTTGTTTCACATTCTTTCTACTCTAACTAGATAATAAGACTTTGTTGCATTTTATTGTCTTGCCTCGGACAGTTTACCAGTCCAGCACTCAGGGGGTGGACAACAAAACCTTCCACTTCTTGTGGATCCATGACTCAACTAAARGAAGAGCTGTTTTTGTCTTCCAGGCTCTACAGGATGAAGGGCAGTATGGACGAGCGGAGCGTAGGATAATCTCTGAACTCCTTTATGTAGCTGCGGTGTTTGCCTTTGGCCCACACGGTCATCTGGATGAAGGCCACGATGGTGAAGAAAGCCACGGGCACACACTGGGTCATGACTGTGAAGCCGATCCAGGAGCCCAGCTGTGAGCACACAGGTTCACACACACACACAAACACACACACACACAGCCCAGTGAGACTGCTGGAACACAAAGCGCTCTTTGCCACTAGGTGGCAGGAACAGCGCATCTTTTTTCCTGATAGAATCAGCTGCATGCAGCTGACCTCTGAACTTCACAGTGATGCACAACTGGCTTCAAAATCTCAGATTATTAATAGATCCATCTCATCACATCTGGATGTAAACTATAATATATCTGGATGTATAATATAAAAGATCTATGAACTACCTCAGCTAAACTAAAAAACACATTTGATGAATAAATGTCCTTTTAAAGTGTTCAGCAATTCTTTATTTTTCACTACTTTAGATTCAAAAAGAAGAAAAAAATTCTAACTCTGTAAAAAAGAGTTTAATCACATTTAATTTTTAGCAATAGTTTTGCTACATGTAGTTTTTGTTGAAGTAATTTTTGCTCATATTTTTCTAATTTCACATTTTTGTAAATTTTTTTGCAACATTTAGCTTTTAGCTATTTATTGGCTACTGTTTGCAACTTGTACGATTATCCTTACATTTTGTAATTTTAGCATTTAGCTACAAATTTGCTAACTTTAGATTTTAGGTACTGT